CTGGCCCGGAGGGGAGAGGAGGGAGAGACTGGGGAAGACCAGAGACAAGGACACGGGAAGCCATGCTCCGAAGACGGGGCAAGGAGGGGTGGCCAAGACGGTGGTGCCACAGGAGAGTCTCGTGAGACAGGAGGCGACAAGAACAGGGGGCAGACTCAGGACCTGACCGGGACGCAGCAGCAAGTACCTGACCCGACGCAGCCACCTGACCAGACGCAGGGACAGGAGGAGACTCAACGGTCAGGGTGTAGAGACTCGACCCCGGCCGACGTGAGAACGTGGCCAGGTGTCGGCCTGTGCGAGCCTCCGTGCAGTGGGTCACCCTCTGACGCGCAGGAGTGAACTGGTGAACACCCCCATCCTGCAGGTCCGCTCCACTCACCAAGTTCGTAGAGAACGAGGGAAGGTACAGACCCGACAGGGTGCCCGAAGGGGCAGCCGGACACGGGAGGACAGTGGAGAAGTGAGACAGGACAGGACCCCCAGAGGGGTCAGCAAGGGAGACCGCAACCGGCCTGGCGAGCGGCGAAAGGGTAGTGCGGTCTCGAAAGAAGGAGCGAGAAGCTCCGGAGTCAAGCGTGAAAGTGAGGGAGGACGAGGACGACTCAGTACCTGAGAGCGCAGTCTCACCAGTACCTGAGAGCGCAGACGCACTGGCACCTAGAGCAGCAGCCTCACAAGCACCTAGCGCAGCAGTACCAATGCCCGGGTCGGGCTGAAAACACCGGTAACCCTCATTCTCCTCACTATAATCCACAACATACATAGCAGTAAGGATAGCATCAAAATCAAGATCAAAGATCGCTACACCAGCCCTGAGAAGCTCATCCCAGCGAGGGATCTCACTAGCCCCAGGGAACTGCTGACGCCAAGCGTCCGTCAGGCGGCCAAAGCAGCGCTGGGTGGCGTGGGCACCCCCACACTGCTCACTCGCGCGGTCGCCGGAACGAAGAACGTAGGTGCAGGGACCAGTACCCCCACCCCTCTGACGCCCAGCGTACCACTCACGAAGCTGCTGAGGCGAAGGGATGTCCCGCGAGCGCTGCTGCTGCTGCCGGTGCGAGCGCTGGCCACCACCACCGCCGCTACGCTGCTGGGTACCACCCCGACCAGCTCCACCTCCTCCACCACTACTGCCTCCTCCGCTGCCGCCTCCACTGCCTCCACCTCCGCCGCCTCCACCTCCGCCGCTGCCTCCACCACCACCGCTGGCACCACCACCACCGTCTCCGCCGCTGCTGCCGCCACCACCACCACCACCCCCGCCACTAGCCCCGCCGCCACCCCCTCCGCCGCCACCGCCGCCACCGCCACCGCCCCCTCCAGCTCCACCCGCGCCCTTGCCCCCCTTGCCCTTGCTGGAGCGACGTCTCCCACTAGGGGCAGACGCCGCGCCGACCGACTCAAGACCAAGCAGGTCGGCAGCAGCAGCAGAGGCAACAGAGGGCAGCAAGGGGGAAGGAGAGCACCCCTCAAAGATGGGGGTGCGAGGGTCACCACGAGAAGCACCTACAGCGACTATGCTCTTCTCCGCTGCAAGGAGGGCCTTCTCGAGGAGGTCGACGGTGAGAGTGGTGGGACAGACTGCGAGAAAGTGGTCCCTGACGACGCGAAGGGAGTCAGGGAGGCGTGCGACTACGTAGTAGAGAGCGATGTACATGGGGGGGGGGTTCTTAGCGCAGAACTCAGCAGGAAGGGCGGCGCGGTAGCGAGTGTCACTAGTGCGGAGGTGCGTAATGAGGTCAGCGACAGTGGGAAAGGCAGAGAGGTCAGGAAAGAGGTAGGGAAGCATGAGACGGCTCAGTGCAGCAGTGGCAGGGGAGGAGTAGCGCGCAACTACAGCGTCGTACAAGGTCTGAGCACTCTTGTACTGACTAAAGTGCGCACGCTCAGAGGTAGGGAGGTGGCGACGCACAGCAAGACGTGCAGCAGCATCGCGGGTGGCCCACTTAGAGCGGACAGCGGGATCAGCATCAGCAGCAGGGGCAGGAGAGGCGCCAGAGGTGAGGTCAAAGAGAGAAAGGTCGTCAGCCCTGTCACACTGTAAGAACAGCTGCAGGTCGTCTAACCAGACCTCAAAATCAATGGCGCGACCCTCAGCGTCAAAAGCTAGGACACTAGGGGTAGCCATGACGACGACTGTGAAGCAGTGCAAGCAGTAGGGGGGAGAGCACGCAGTGACAGTGGGACTGTGCTCACCAGGCAGGGCAGGTCGCGCAGCTCGACAGAAAAGCAGAACGGCGACCGGGCGGCTCAGGTGTACAGCGGCTCGGCTCCCGGGCGGCTCGGCGGCAGGGCGGCTCGGGTGCAGGGCGGCTCGGCTCCCGGGCGGCTCGGCTGCAGGGCGGCTCGGGTGCAGGGCGGCTCGGCTCCCGGGCGGCTCGGCTGCAGGGCGGCTCGGGTCCCGGGCGGCTCGGCTCCCGGGCGGCTCGGCTGCAGGGCGGCTCGGGTCCCGGGCGGCTCGGTGACAGGCGGCTCGGGTCGCGTAGAAGTGAGACGGGGCGGGGCCGCGTCAGGGCCGGCGGTAGGGCCGCGTAGGAGCCGGGGCAGGGCCGCGAAGGAGCCGGGGCGGGGCTGTGAGAGGAGCCGGGGCAGGGCCGCGTAGGAGGCCGGCGGTGTGGCCGCGTAAGGGCCGCGTAAGGGCCGCGTAAGGGGCCGGCGCGGGGCCGCGTAAGGGCCGCGAAGGAGCCGGCGCGGAGCCGCGTAGTGGCCGGGGACGGGGCCACGAAAGGGCCGGGGCTGGGCCGCGTACGGAGCCGGCGAGGGGCCGCGTAGGAGCCGGCGGCGTGGCCGCGTAAGGGCCGCGTAAGGGCCGCGTAAGGGGCCGGCGCGTAAGGGCCGCGTAAGGGCCGGGGCGGGGCCGCGTAAGGGCCGCGTAAGGGCCGCGTAAGGGGCTGGCGTGGGGCCGCGTAAGGGCCGCGTAAGGGCCGGGGCGGGGCCGCAGAGGAGAGAGCGACTCGAGGGGTCGCTAAAAAAAAAATTCGCGCCTCGGGGGCGCGCTTCGGTGGGCCCAAAAATTTCGGTCCTGGAGGGACCTAGCTCTATACCATGTGAAAAGAGTAAGCAGGAATGAGTGAACTATGAATGAAAGCAGTACAAATATGAAACCCTAACTGGGTTGTACCCCCTATGGGATACCCCACTACAGCCTACACAGCAGTATAAGCTATAGATATGTTCTGACAGTTTAGATCTAAGCCGTCCTGTGTTAGAATTAAGTCGACCTAACAGGTATCGAACGCGTTTAAGTTGCAAGTTAGGAGCTTACCTAGCGGAAGTCCCGTAGCCCGTCAGCAGAACGAGAGGAAGTAGGAAAGGGAGGGCTAACTAAGAATAGGAAGTAAATGACGACAATAAGAGCTTACATCTTACCATGAGCTAACAACTCTAAATGACATCTTAAACTTTCTGACCTTGGAGTGGTAGGTGGACCGTAAGTAGCGTGAGGCAAAAGAACAAGCTCCACTGGCGAGAAGAAAAGAGAAAGAGAAAACGAATACCTAGAACCTAGAACATAGGCTTAATCAAACTATCTTTTTAAAACGCGGCCAGGGTAAGAGTAAACAACTATGTACGAGATTAACGCATGCTAGTCTCGCTAGAAATCAGGTAACTTAATTCTACTTGAAACGGTAAGGTAGAGTTGTTCTCACCTTAGTAGGAACGGGTAGGTGGGGCGTGAGTAGCGGGGAGCTAAACCAGCGAGCGGAAGGGAGGGAGAAAGAAAGGAAGAGCCAACCCTAACAAAGTGTCAGATTCGTCGTTACTTCATGTAATCTAAATTATTATGTTGCTTCTCTTTGCAGTAGCGCTAGTGCAGTCGGTAGGAGAAAGGCGTTGGGTATGAAGGTCGTAGGTTCGAATCATGGTGAAGCTGTTTTTCGAGTCGTTGCTATGAATGTCAATTACCACAGGTTTTTATAAAAGTATTCTCACTTGTAGAAAATTGTGTACGGTACATGTCGTTATGTAAAATGTAAAAAATTGTGTACATATCGTTACGTAAAATGCTTCGCAACCCTAAGACGATTTCGTCGCCTCTTGTTTTCTTTTCTGTCAACGGGCGGCTGAGTCCGTCCAGCAATTTTGCGACAGGCCGGGGCAGATAAGGCATGTCGAGGACTGTTGGCTGTTGAGGGCCGAAGAAAATATCTCAGCGGACAAGCGAGTCCGCTCAGGGGAGCTCGCTGCCCGCGGGCAAAAAAAAATCAACCCCAGAAGTGCATGCATCAGCAATAGACACCATCATCCCCTAGTTCCGTTGGAATAGCTTCGCCCTTGATGGCTTCATTCATGATAACCGAGTAGTACTAGAAGTACCACTGGCACTTCCAGGGAAACACACAGCGAGTCGCGCCGCCACTGAGCCGCGTAAGTAGAGTAGTAATAGATAAGGCGGCGCCCTTGCACAACCCCGTCCCGAGTGGCCGGCGGTCCGTCGAGCAGCGGATCGGAGGAGTGAGCGCAATCGTGAGCAGCGGCGAGCTGAGCAGCGGAGCCCTGCAGCATGCGGCGCTGCCTCGCCTGCCCGACCGGGTCTGCAGAGGCGGCAGCGTTGAGCCGCCGGGGGATGGCGCGTGAGCGCGTGCTGCGCGCGCTAGCGCTCGCATGGTGCCTCGCCGCCCTTGCCACTCGCTTCGCCATCACCCAGTCCTACACGACAATCGAGGGCTCGCAAGGTGACTTCTGCCAAAGTTACCAACGGGTACCCTTGACGGAATCTTCCCAAGTTGGGGTATCCCCGCCCGGGGTAACCTGTTGGTATCCTGGGGGATTTAGACACATTTTTTTTGAGATGTCAAGGCCATGTACAGAGGCCCAGCCGCCTGGCCTGCTCATCCATAGCCCACAGGGGGCATCGACTTAGGGTTAGGAGATAATTTACAGAAAGAATCTTTTTGACAATCCACCCTTGCAAATGTCACCACTATTTGACTATAATGTAAAGTTACCCAGGGCCGGGCCGGACCGGCCCGGGTCAGGCCGAAAAGCGTTCTGCCATGCCGTGTTTGGCCTGCAAGCCCACCATATGCGGCCAGGCTCGCGCCGAGACAGGCGCTCATCCGGCCCAGGGCGAGCCGAACCTGGTGTGGTCCGTGCTCATCCCTATAGGTGTGTTCCTTCAAGCAACTCCCACATCCCTACGAGCGCTCTCTCCACCCCTCATCACTACCACATCCGTCACCCCCCCTTTGTTCCCCCCCCCCCCCCCCCCCCCCTCACACACTACACTCCCCTACCCCTCCTCCCACTCACTACCCCTTCCACAATATGTGCAGTGCAATTCCTGCGCGACTGCGAGACAGCATGGAACCGGTATTTCTCTGAATGGCACGAGCAGATGTTTCAAGAAGGCATCTACTGCGAGTATGATGATTACGGCAACCTTCTGTACTGCGACCGCGGCTATGTTCTAGGCCTCTTTTGCGAACTTGCTGGCCTTGAATGCGACGCGAACGGGATGATCTTGAGATTGTGAGTTTACGTCACCTCATCTGCAGTCTGGGTATTCCCACACAGCGCAACAACGCCCATGCTGTAGTATAAACGCATAGTTCTTGAGATGTTGTGGGACAAGACAAAGACTTCCACATCGGTCTCATCCTAAGTGCCACCTCTAATTCCTTACTGTTCTTTCAAACCCGTGGTGGCATGGCATGGCATGTGTGGGCGCAGTGGTTTAACGTACTTTGCTCTGGAAGGGTCAATTCCGGCGTCCATCAGCAACCTGAGAGAGCTCACTGACCTGTACGTCCCCCTCGCCTTGTGAACTGCCTGCCTGTTAGGCGGAGAGAAGCAACGTCGAGTGGAGGGGAGGGAGGGCAAGGGCTGGAAAGGTGAAGGTTGTAGGAGTGGATGAACTTGTGGAGTGCAAGTTGAGGGAGTAGTGAGGCGGTGCAGGATAGAGTTGTCATCCTATGATGGATTATATGCGTTTAGCGTATATATGCATATCGTATATACGCTAGCGTGTATACGCCATACGCTTGAGGGTCGGATCAGGCATACGTTTTTCGGGCAGGGAAACAAACATTTCGGGCAGAGTGAAAAAAAAACCCCCTATCTCATCTCACTAAGACGTGCCCTAGCATTTTCCTGAGTCCGATTGGCGGGTGGGGTGGGGCGGGGAGTAGACATCATAGCTAGAGGGAGTAGTGTTGGAGAGGCTTTCCAAGTTGGAGTGCGCGGGGACACTGCTGCAAGCGGGAATGCAAGGTAGGAAATGACGGGTTAGGAGTTGGGTTGGCTGGTAAGTAGCGTGAGATTTGTTGGGGGTTCGATTTTGCTAGGTTGGAGTTCGTAGATGATGTGGTTTTCAATGCGGTAGAAGGGATGGGTTCCAATGCCTAGACGGTGAAACGTTGCTGGCAGGGGAGTAGCAGCCTTAGTAGGCTAGGAAAACGAGTATAGAGTGCTCTCTGGAGTTCTCTGGAAATTGCACTATGACTTCACAAATTTGACAGTACAATATTATACAGCACATTCAAACATCGAGTCGCACTCCCAAGTTGCGACTCTCTCTGAATTTCTCAATGGTAACCCCCAACCCTTTGAAATGAACCTGCCGTGAAATTCAGAGAATTATTGCGGCATGGGATTGGACGGCGAGCCTGGTTACGGGGCTGTAATTTCGTCGGTGTTGGCGAAGTCGGCGAGCGGTCGGAACTTCGGAATCCTGCGTTTCGTAATTTTCGTGCGTGGGATTAACTTGGGCTGCGTGTCGGAATCTGGTCGCCCAGCTGCAGGATGGGGCGCTTGACCAATCCGAACTGTAGGTGAGGTGGCGCTTGACTTCCGCCCACCTGCACTGTTCTTGGAGTTGAGTTGCTGCACTGTAACGATTGACTTCCGCTCACCTGCATTGCAGTTGGCAGCATTCGGCTGCTGCACTGTTACAGATGGGATCTGAAATTCGAGATTTGTTTTGAGATGTGCCTGAAAACTTCGAAGTCAGATCCCAGCTTCTCTAGACCGCGGATTTGCATTTCGACTTCGGCGAAATGCTCACCTAGAAAATCCGCATACTATCTGCAATTTTATTTTTTCCGGGCTGCCCGATAAAAACATGGCTGCGTATCGCGTATTCGCTAGCGTTTAGCTTGTTGCGTGTATACGCTAGCGTACACACGCTAAACGCGAAGGGTCTTGAGCGTATTGTCCATCATAGGTCATCATCTGTGGCTGTGGGGTGGGGGCGTGCAGTGAGTCGCATTGGGTTGGGAACTTGCGAGAAAGCCTCCAGTTAGCCAGCGGTAGCTAAGAAGATGCTAGTATGAGAGGCACAACAAGTGAGACAGTGAACGGTAATGTACCATAGTCGTAGGGGGCTGCTCCTTCAATCGTTGTCCCTCTTATTTGTCTCGTTGTTTGCATCTTTCCATTTAGTGAAACCCCCACCCAATTTCATATTCTTACTCCCTCTTTAATGTGCCTTCAATATGTGCCCTCTTAGGGCGTACCTCAGCATGGTGTGAAGGCAACTGTTCACATCGCGAATGACACAAATTTGTCACATATCGTGTCGGTGTCACACCAGTTCAGGGCTAGTTGCGAAAGACACGTCTAGCATCTTAGAAGCTGGCGTCTAGACGCAGCGTCTAAGACGCTAGACGCGCTCCTTGGGCAGATTAGACGCTGGGATAGACGCAAGCCCGGGCAGGCCAAAATATAGTACGGGCAGCCAAAAAACATTCTATAGGCCATGGGGAGGGGGAGGGGGAACGGAATTCAAATTCGCGCGCGACTTTTTTTCGGGCTGCCCAATTTTTTTTGACCCGGGCGTCTAGCGCCTTAAGGTGCGTCTAGACACTAGACGCAGGACGGGTCTAGCGTCTTCCGCAACTAAGGTTCAGGGACACCACCCAAATTGGTGTCATGCGGTATTTCCGCATGACACCATCACTAACATAAACAGTTGCCTTGACACCATGCTGAGATACGCCCTTACCCCATGTGTCCACGTGTCTTCCTTTCTCTTTCTCCTACATCAGCCTTGCTTCTTCATTTTTTCCCCCTCTTCATGTAGCCCTCTTTTTATACTATCTTATACCGCATGGAAAAGCAATTCTTCAGACCAAGCGAGACGCACCCTGCTTATCCTACCCCCCCATCGATTCTTTGCGATGTCTGCGTACACTCCAGGGCGAGTGTTCGTTATCGTCTATTATAATGTGCTTTTCTAACACGTGGTAAGGGCATAAGATACTTCTCATACTAACCGTTGGATGCCAACCAATGCATGGGAAATTCAACTTTCTGCCTGTATCACATGTCCCATTTGTGTTCTCCACCACAGTGATTTCCGTAGGAATGAGCTGTCGGGTTCAATTCCAACTGAACTCTTCACCCTCACAAAGCTGACTCGCCTGTAAGGCCTGTGACCCTGTCTGCTGCGCTCTCCAATTAAACTCCTACCTTTCCCACTCCAATGGTTTCTTCATTTCCAATCTCTTCTACTACGACCTCTGCATTCTTCTCTTATTTCACTCATCCGTCTGTTTCCCTTTGCTATATACCTTTCCACCTTTTTCTCTCTTCACCCGGCTTTTCGTCCTCGCTTCTTCCTTTCCTCCAATTCCTTCCGTTCTCGTCCCTGCCGAAAATACATCTCTCCTTAATTTCCAAAGCCAGTCCATCCGCCGTCACTGATGGAACACCACAAACATTGATCTCCACACTGCTATTGTGCTACTGTATGACTTTTAGCAATGTCACTTGGGTACCTAGTTGCTCTTATTTATGCATGTATTAACGAACATGATTTATATTTGTATTATGTTACATAACATTATGTATGCATGCATTCTTAGTATGTATGCCTCCCCATTATGACAGGGATCTTGGTGCCAATCAACTCACAGGCTCAATCCCTAGTGCAATTGGCATGCTTACGAACCTGATTCAACTGTAAGTCCTCTATTTTGCTTTGCTCTCCTTCCCCTGCCCCACCAATCGACCCTTTGTGATCTCTTTGTTTGGATAACAAGATTCCTCCCTTGATCGGACGTAAGTCTCATCTTTACTCCTCACCTGTTTCCTCAATCCTTCATGCTTTATAACACGTTCAGTGCGGAAGAATCATATCCCTTCCTGTGATGGATTTAACGCTTAGTCAGGGCAGAGTCCAGCATCTAAATGCTGCATTTTGGCGCTTGACGATTGATGCGTTTGAATTAACCCTCATTCCACCGTTTCAGCTCCCACACTCATTTCTCGGACGGTCCCTTTCACTGATTATATTCTGGTACAGCAAGCGTAAGGTAAAGAGCAATCAACTAAACTGATCTACGGAGAGGAGTTTGGCAAGAAAGTAAGTCAGATGGCAGTAAAGAAAGCGTTTTTCATTCTAGGCATTGGCATACGACCCGATCGGGTTGGTCATGGATACGGATTAATGGCCTTGAACCTGATGCCCAAGATGGGTTATTTTCTTTGCCTATGCTGACCTGTTGGTAGACCTGTGCATTCAGAAAGCCAATAAAATTTGGCTTGTCCTGGTCAGGACTCGGTTGAGGTTTTGCCCCAGCCGAGCACTGTGCACAGTCGCAACAATATCGCACACACGCGCGGGCCCTGTGGGTCCTGGTTTTTGCGCGCCTTTATCTTGACCAGCACAAATGACTAAAGGGCCTCAAATAAGAAGTATCGAGCCCCCACTTTCCCTCATGCACACCCATGGGTCGCCATGAGGACTCATGAAAGTTCATGGATCCTTATTGAGCCGCAACTTTGATGTGCAATATGGAACCCTCTCTCTTCACTTTCCATAGCCAGTCCATCCGCTATTGCTGATGGTACACCACTTTTTTTTTTTTTTTTCAACCCTGCTATCGTGCAACTGTATGACTTTTCACAATGTTACTTAAGTACCTAGTTGCTCTTATTTATGTATGTATTTACATGCATGATTTATGTATGTATTATGTTACCAATTTATGTATGCATGTATTCTTCGTATCATGCCTCACCATCATGACAGCGATCTTGCTGCCAATCAACTCACAGGCTCAATCCCCAGTGCAACCGGCATGCTTAAGAACCTGGTTAAACTGTAAGACCTCTGTTTTGTTGTGCTCTCCTCCCTCTGCCCTACCAATCGACCCTTTGTGTTCTCTTTGATTGAATAACAAGATTCCTCCCTTGATTGGACGTAAGGCTATCTTATCATCTTTACTCCTCACCGTTTTCCCCAACCCTCCATACTTTTTAACACGTTTAGCGCAGAAAGAGCGTATCCCTTCCTATGATAAATTTTAACGCTAGGACAGGGCAGATTCAAGCATCTAAATGCTGCGTTTTGGCGCTTGACTAATGATGCGTTGACCGAACCCCCACGCCACGGCTTCAGCTCCCAAACTCATTGCTCCGGTCCTTTTGACTGATTACTATAAGGTACAGTGTAAGAGAAAGGAGCAGTCAACAAAACTGATCTACGGAAAGGAGTTTGAAAAAGCTCGCGCGCTGAACAAGCTTTGCATGAGTTTTTAAAACTCGCTGAGATTTGCTCGGTTCGGCTCGGACGAGTTTTTTCGCCAAATCCAGGACTTCTCACTCGCCAGTCGACGAGTTGCTCGGACGAGTTGAGGCGATTAAGTCGCCCCGATGCCCTTGTATTGCTGAAATCACTTATGTGCCCACTAGTCAAACCGAACCATTGCCGGTCGATTTGCTTCGACTTGAATTGAACCAGTTAGGTTCGATTTGGTGGCCAACTCGACCCAGTTCGACCCGAACTGGTTTGAGTTCAGTTTTTACTCATTTCCCAAGTTTTCTTGACTGGACTAGTCAGGTCCGTCCAATAGATTTGAGGTTGTTACTCATTGTTGTCAAGCTAAAAAACCGATCAGAGTGGTTGCTCGACTTGCTTGCTCATGTATAGGCTGTTCTGCTATCCAAGGCTCATCTCTGCTGCTCCATTTCCTACTCCTGCGCCCTTGTTGTCCCTCCTCTGCATCGTTCCTTTCATGTCTTCATGCGTTCATCTATCTAGTCTTTGCAATTGTGACGTCACATGCTTTTTCTGTGTCCTCTCCCCCTCTCTTCGCTCCTTCTTTCTGCTCATACCATCCTCTTTTTATTGTCTTGTCCATTTCTCACACCTCGGGGCAGGCAAATTAGACCCTCCAGCCCTACTCCTGTTCTTTGCTCAATTGTGCCAAGGGACCAAGGCAACGCTACTATTATGCTTCCTTGGCGTGTCTTGGAACTTCACCTATGCATACACGTGACAGGGTGCTCTTGATTTGCATGCTGAATAGAATTAAACCATATGTAGCACATGTCTTGTATGTGGGCATTTCAACAGAGATTATAGTGCAAATCAGCTCATTGGCTCAATCCCTGGTGTAATCTGCAGCCTCACAAATCTGACCTACCTGTAAGGCCTCTGCTTTGCTATGTTCCCCTGTTACCACACATTCACACCAAGGTGGAGATGAATGATCAACCGCTGCTTTTTACAATGGTAATAAACGGTTGCTTCCGAGGAAAATTTGACGTTTTTTTCTGTCGGACAGAAGAACTGTATGAGACAAATATGCATGGATAAAAGCAGCATGTAGAGTCAACTCAATTATCATCCTCTGATTGTTCAGGGGACTCATTCTATGCCATGTGATGGCTCCTTCATGCCTCACAGCATCTCCTGGTGCGTCATTGGCACTTCTAACAACTAACCACTTCATGATCCTGCTTATTGGCCACGAACAGTGGTATGAAAATGACCGTAGAAAACTATAGGTATTAAAGTATAAAACTAGAAATTGGGCGATAGGGAATCAGCCTAGGAGTCAGCCCAGGAGGTCAAAATTGCTGATCCCTAACATCGAATTCCAGCTTGCACGATTCTGGTCGCGCAGGTTCCGCATCGAACAATTCGTCGAACCGGGCTGGATATGTACATGCGTATGTTCGAGCCATGCTTTACTGGGCAAAAAAAGGCCGTGTTCGGTTCGACTGTGTTGGAGTTGGAGCTCCAACTGTGTTTTTTAAAGTTACACAACAAAATATGAGACCCAAGTCTCACAGGTTTCTGGTTCAAAACGAACCGGTGAAGGCGTCGAACCGGGGGCCCAGATTTTGTTATTGACAAACCGGCCGGAACGACAAACCGGTTCCTTTAGAAAGTCGAACCGGTTCGTTACGGAAAAAAAAAACCTCGGTCCGGTTTGAACCAAATCGAACTGCAATTCATTTTGGTGCTCATATATTTTTTACGGTAAAATCTTGGAAAGAAAACCATGTTTTTTTGCAGCTTGATTCACACTAATTCTTTTCCTTGGCCTCGGTTTCTCCTCTGTTCTCTCCCTTTCCCCCCCCCCCCCCACCTTCCCATCCCCCCCGGACCCACTTGACCCCTCTTCCTCATTTCTTCTTCCCTCCTGTCCACTTACCACCACCCTATTGTTCATGGTCCTTTGCGACCTTAGGCTAGACCAATTGCTAGACATACATGACAGTTCCAGGGGACTCTGTATTTTTTGTAGGCCCGATTCAGTGCCTACTGGAATCTGGTCGATTCCCTGTTGTGCCTGGCAACTGAGGGCGCGAGTTGTACATTTGTATCAAGGAGAGGCCTATAGTAGAAGTGCCAAGTTGCATGGCACTTTTGGGTCCGTCATATTTCCTAGCCATTAACATTTCCACTTTCACATCTCATACTTGCGTTGCATTAGCAGTGACATCCTCTCGATCCCTCTCATCCTATGTGTGGATGACACCTTGGAGGAGGTGTGATTGATTCCCTTGCAGGGACACTTGCCTCCCTCTCCTCACTCACATCTCCCACCCGTCTATTGCCTACATATAGTTGTCTGCTCTGCACACATTTTAAAGACATGAACCAATTTCCGCTGTTATTTATTGCATGGATAATTCGTGCTTGTTATTACAGAAACTTAGATCAAGATCAGCTAACTGGTTCGTTTCCTTCTTGCATCAGCAATCTGACAAAACTACGTACACTGTAAGATACTTGCTTTGTTGCGTTCAGCATCTTCTAATCTCCTCTTCAACTCGACTTCCTGTGCTATGCCCATACTCGATATTAGGTCCGAGCCAAGCTGGCTCGTACCATCCACAACGATGAGCTGAGCCTGCAGTTTACTCGGCTCGTGGCTCATCTCATTGAGGCGAGCCGGCAAGGGAGGGGGGAGGCTAGGCTCGCCAACGAGCTGAGCCGGCTCGTCAAATGACTGCGAATGCGCACGGCGTTTTAGGGCAGAAACTATAAATTTTACTCCAACTGAGTGCTGAAAACAGAAATGGCGAGAAGCCTGGACACAAGTCGTGTTCGTGCTCTGTGTGTTGGAGAATTTCTGGCTGGTGGTTAGGTTTCCTAGATAGTAAGGAGTGAAGTATACATGGGCACAGGACGAGTCGAGTTTAACTTGACTTGCTTTTGCGAATTTTGATTACTAATCGAGAGAGTCAAGAGAAACTCGTCGAGTTTTTTCCCTGAACCACCAGCAGAACATTGAGTGTAGATAGGGTAGGTACTAACGACAACAATGAACTCGGTTAAATTAAGAAATAATGATTACAAGAAATTACAATGTTGACATTTGTACCACACTCTGTGGGGTCAAATGCCATGGGCATACGAGCCAAGTTTCCACTCCGCTCGTTTTACGTACTCAAAAAGCTCGAGTTACATATAACACGGCTAGTCAAGTTAAGTTGCACCCGCGAGTAAAAAGAAAGAAAGAAAGAAATCACACTTGAAAATGTGTGCCTTTTTTTTCGAGTTTTTTACAACTCGTGCGGCATTTAACCCTCCAGATCGGCGCAGATCTGCCACTGCGTGGAATATGGGGGCATCTTGGTGTTTGCTGTGGAGTGGAGTAAGTGGGGTTCCCAGAGAGATGCTCTTCCCCCTCCTCTTCTCAACCTCGCCCTCGGCTAGTGGTCCCCCAATTTCCGGCCTCTTTCTCCCCCCGTCCCTTTTCATACACTTACCACCTCCACCCCCGTGCTGTAAGGCCTCCTCTGCTATCCCCTGTCCCTCGCCCACCCCCTCCCCACCCTCGGGCTCCAAGCCTTCCATCTCATGGTCTTCATCCCCCCCCCCTTCCGCACTACCTCCATGGCCATGAGTGTCGGGTCGCCTGTCTTGCTCACTGTCATCCCCGCTCCCCCCCTCATTGTCTTCCCCTTCGTCCTCATCCTCCTCCTCGTTTAAGTTGCAAAAGACGTTCAGGGCGTCTTGCGTCCTGCGTCCAGACGCAGAGTCTGGATGCAGGAGGCCCGCGAAGACGTAAGACGCAAGGGGGAAAAAAATCTGGGCAGGCCGGAAAAAAATATGGGGGAAAAAAGTCAAGACCTAAGAAGAAATTGCCTTAAATGTTAGCTACGTCCATATCCCCCCCCCTCCCCATGCCCCATAGAAGGTTGTTTTGGCTGTCCGTACTTTTTTTTGCGTGCCCGGGCTTGCGTCTAACCTAGGCATGGGCATTTGGCCCGGACGGGTCGGGTCACGAATGCTGAGAATGTCGACCCGCCCGGGTCGGGTCGGGTATACCCGGACGGGTTGGGTCGACCCGTGACCCGTCACTGTGATTAAGGGACGGGTATCAGCGACCCGCCGGGTCAGGTTGACCAGTCCCGTCCGGGTCGCGTACCCAGTAAAATGACAGGGGACTCTACCCGCTCTTTGATTAGGGTACACTTTGGAGAGGGGGAAGAACATCAGTTGGTTTTGATGTTTTGTGTTCCTTGACATCCAGATCTAGTCCAGTCTCTAGACTAGATCAAGCTAGTTACTCTGCACTACACCTACCAAGCCTCCTACAGTCTTCACTTCAATGCTAGCACTAATTTGAACTGTATATTCAGGTTAGGCATAGGCGCGCCCGACATTTTGCCTTGTCGCGCGACCAGGGGCACAGCAGCGTGATCGCGGCGCCGCATTAGCGTGATCGCATCCCCGCATTAGTGCAGCAACATTGCGCATGCGATCGCATCCAAATGACAATGTAGCAATTCTAACCTATTCCCCATACCCTGCATACTCTGTAGCATATTTTGACCCGACCCGACCCGACCCGTGCTATAACCGACCCGGGTACGGGTCACAAATGCCCGTTCCAACGGGGCGGGTCGGGTCACCAAAACAGAGTCAAACTCGACCCGCAATCCTGACCCGACCCGACCCGTTACTGTAACGGGTCACACTAGACGGGACGGGTCAGGCCGGGTCGGGCCAGATGCCCATGCCTAGTCCAACCCAGCGTCTAGACGACAGCATCTAAGACGCTAGACGCGTCTTCCGCAACTTAGCTCCTCGTCCTCTTCCCTGCTATCATTGTCAACAGTGGTAGTAGTCGTGCACCCCTCTGGCATGGATTAAAAACCCCAACGAAACAAGCCGCGGGTGTCGCGGGCCTGCCCCCTACACCACCCTGCAGAGGTTGTGCTGGAGTTGAGGGCGCAGTGCACCGCCGCGACCACCTACCACTCCACCTACTGCTGGTGTTTGCGAAGCCATAAGCCAACAAGCCTAAACCCTAGCCCACCTTAAGCTAAACACGAATTGCGATTTTCTGCTGTCTAGGGGCGTGAATAAAGCTTGTTGCCGTAAATGATGGAGTCGCCTAGGATTTCATGTAGGTTCCCCTAAAACGAGGTTCCTGGTGATGGGTTCCTACTCAATTCTACCCTTAACTGCACAACCTAGCACCATCCTTAGTCTAGGCTGAGAAAGAGGTAAATTACGCTGAGGGAAATTTGTGTTGAGAAAAGTGTTGATTTGTGGCCCTGTTGGTCCTGCTAAAAAATGAGTTCAAACTGAATGTCCCGTCAACCTAAAAAGGTGGTCGCAGGACTTTCGCGACGAACACATTTGTGTTCGTCACATGTGTTCATCGACTTCAGAGACGAACGCGAACATGTTCGTTGCACCGCGGCCTCGGCCTGCAGCGACACAAACAAAAACCTGTTCGACCCAAACACCAAGGGCAAAAAAAAAAACCTTGTTTGCCATGGTGCTCAAGCCTAGCTGTCTTAGCGGTTGCAATCACTCAGATAGGACAGGAGTAAGGTACAGAAGCATGGTTTTTGTAACGGTCCGCTCTTGGTGGTCGTTCGTGTTCGGTCTTACAAAATAGATGACCGCATTTTCTTACGCAACTTTGGTCAGTAAGGAGACCATTGTTCCTGTTAGCAAAACTTGCCAGAAATGGCTAACAATTGTGAGTTTAAGTTGATGGACTAGTAATCCGTCTATTGCTCACCTTCACCATCATTTTGGTCCCAGGGGTTGGTGCTCCCCCTTGTTGGTGCCAAGCCCACGAGCTGGTGACCAGCTCAACGAGCCAGCTTGGCTCGAGCCTGATGAGCTGAGATTCTGCGGCTTTTATCGAGCCATTGGCTCTTCTGCTCATGCCTACCTTATAGTGATGCCTCCTCTATCGTTCAGTGTTCTCCTCTTCATGTTATTAGTGTCCATGCGAACTGAGTCGTAGTAAGCAATAAAAAAATCTGATAAACCCAAAGCAACTGACAGAAAAGATGTAAGAACCTCGATCCCAAACTGTGGCATGAAAAACTTTTGTGGGTTGGATTTCAAGCTGGGCACGAATTCCGGCAGGCTGCAAACGTGGCAAGGAAAGGGCTTGTGCATTGATTTCTCTGCTGCTCCACACCTGAATGTAAAACAACGAAGAACTGATGCGAAAATGGACGGCAACCCTTGTTGAGATAAGTCAGAACCATCAGTTGGTTCTTGCAGCAATGACTCTTGAGTGTACCTTGTCTATTTTTATCACTTTCCCTCAAGGTGCAAAAGAACGTCCTTTTTTTAATTTCTTTTTTCTTTCTTTCTCAAGATTTGTCCGTGAAATACGGTATCATAAAATTGGCCGTAGAAAACAACCATAAAACAAATCATTTGGGTCGAAAAATAGCGTCGTTTTTTTCAGTGAAATTTTTGAAACTGCTGGTGAATTTTTGTGAGTAGAACGAGGGGGATGTTAGAAGTGCTGCTAACGCACCAGGAGATTCAGTGAAGTGCATTACTATCAAATCACCTAGTTCCTACTGCTGATAGTACCACGATAGTTGAAACAACTCTTCTCGGGGTCACCTCCAAGGGTCCTTGGGTGCCTGACTGAAGTCAGCCCCTATTCAAGGGTCTGAGTTTGTTGAAAAACAATCTCAGTAGCGTAGAACTACAGAAGCGGAAGTCCTATGATGCGGCGTAGTCTGAGAATCCTTGATAGTTAGAGTATAAACTTGATAGTCGCGTGGGAGAATGCTTGATAGGCAAAGTGCTTTTCATAAACAAGAGCATACATTTTATATAATCTCTAGGCTATTGCTAGTGCTAACTATCTAACACCTCTAGACAATTCCTATTGTTAACGCAGAGCGAGCATTTCGCATTTCGCTAAAAATATTTTGTAACTTGGCGGGTTGGAGATTCGCCAACGAGGCATTTCGAAAATGCTCGCGCCAAGACTTATTTTGACGACCACGATTCGGGAGGGAAACTTCGCGCCATATTAGTAACGGCTCGGATCGGTCCGTTCAAACGGTGTTCAAAAGGGTCAAGCTTGAAACTCCACCAGCGAGCTGAGTTGGCAGAAAACGTCTTGCTCAAAAAGCACAAGCAGGTGTGCTCCTGCTTTGTGTTCTGTGCAGCTGCCGTGTCAGCAGTTCAGTGTACGCGAACAAGCTGCTTGAGCGGTGCCCAATCATCTCGCTCGAACAGTCACATTCTGAACAGCATTGTTCCGAACAGCAGTGTCCCGAACCGTAGCATTCTGAATAGCAGAGTTCCGAACAGTTGCGTTCCGAACAGCAGTGTTCCGAACAGCATTGTTCCGAACAATCATCAACTCGCCACGTGAGCAGATTTCGCCGTTGTCATTGGCCGAATCGGATTTTGAACTCTGAACTGTCGTTTTTTAGCAGAATCGACTGGTCTCATTGGTCGAAGTAAAACTAAGCGTTTGAACCCTCGGTTGTAGGAGACTCGCTACATCACTTCAGCTGCCGCGTGGAATAGTGTTGTTCACTCCCCCAGGAAAACCGGCTGATTGAAATACAGAAATTTAATTGTGTGTTAACAGAGTGTTCTCTTGCTTGCAACGTCATCTTTGTAGTTTGAGCGCTCTTGTTTTTTTGGTCCTACAAGAGCACATTTTTTCCCCAGAAGATAGCATAGAATACCAATGGAAAAAAAATGATCATCTGATTTTCGACATTCGTGCTTTTCCACCTCCTTTCCCATCGCTCTTCCCCTTTCTTGTCCCTATCTCTCAGCTCCCTCTTCTTCCATCTACTTTTCTCTCAATCCAGAACCTCGCATCCATCGTACCTGCAATTCGCCCAGCTTATTTGACTGATCCTTTGGTCAAAGTCTTGAACGCTCTACCCACTCTACCTCTCTCGCTTTGCTCGGTGTGTCTCCATCCTTTCACAAATACAGGTTTCTGGGAGGCAATCAACTTGACGGCCCCATTCCTCCTGCTATCCTGAGCCCTTTAACAGACTTGAGAAGATTGTACGGCTTGTCTCTTGTCCCGCTTCTGTATTCTATGGTCCAGAGACCTCTTTTACATTCCACCCAAAGAAAACTGTTTATGTGCGTGTGGAGTGCAGATTGGTTGATCGATGATATGCAGCCACTCGAAAAACCCCATTTGCTCTGTTTTCCTGTGATTTTTTTTTTCCCTGGTTTTTGTTTGTTGTTATTGTTTTCAAAAAAAAAAAAATGTGGTCCTCTCTTCTGTTCACTTTTCTTGTATCTCCTTGTCGCTTTTCTGTTGCCATATGTTCTTGGTTCCTTCTCTTCATCTGCATTGACTTTTTTTTGCTCTTCTCCTTCGTAACTGCAGTTCTTTAGCCAGCAACAAGTTCTCTGGAAACATTTCTTTCGTTTTAGTCCTTACTGAAGTGCAGATCCTGTAATGCCCCTTGCCTGTTTCTCCTCTCACTTGTGTCTCTTGTTTGTTGTATGAAAAGATGAGAATCCACATTCTGTACCAGGGTGATGTAGAAAGCGAATAACCTGCACATAATTATTTATCCTGGATATGACAGACATGCTGATGCCATGTAGATATCAAGGCATGAGCATAAAAAGTGACCACATTTCGGTTCTGTGTGGTTCGGTTCGCTGTCATCCAAACTGAATCGGTTGTTTTTGGGCGGCCTCTTCAGCGGTTTGATAGTAACTAACAATTGCCGGGCCGCGCCGAAAAAAAAAACATTTTAAATGTAAGGCTATAATCCAGAGAGTTGGAGCTCATGTCGAGCTCTCTCATAGTCTACTATGCCCACTTCCACCTAACATTGGGATGTTTTCCACATTCTCGATAGGGAATGAGCCCTGACGAACCGAACTGGTCCTGTTCGGTACCATGCTCAAGTCTATCAAGAGTTTTGTGCATGCTGCATTCTCAGGCCTCCTACTCATCATGTTCTCCACAGGGTTATCAACAACAATCAATTTACTGACTCCATTCCGTCTGACATTGGCACTCGCTTGTCCAAACTGCAATATCTGTGAGGCCCCTGCTTGGTTCTCCTTCTATATGCTTTCTCTTCCATCCTTGTGTGGTACTCCTTGCGTCTCAGAACTTGACAAGTGGTGAGGGAGGGAGCGGTATACATGAGCAAACGAGTCAAGCTACTCAGCGGGTTCTGTAACTAGTCATTGTCGAATTTCGAGCTCATTCTTTTTGAGTCGAGCCAAGTAAAAAAGAAAGACTCAACTGAGTGAAGAGGTTATGGCTTGGGCTTGTAGGACGTGGTCGTTATCCAGATGCTAAGGGGTGAAGTGGGTTGAGATGGTTTTGCGTGTCAATTTGGAACCAAAAAAAGAATCGTGGGAAACCTAAAAAGGTAGGCCTCCTCCTCCTCCTCCTCCTCCTCCTCCTCCTCCTCCTCCTCCTCCTCCTCCTCCTCCTCCTCCTCCTCCTCCTCCTCCTCCTCCCTCCTCCTTCCTCCTCCCTCCTCCTCCTCCTCCTCCTCCTCCTCCTCCTCCTCCTCCTCCTCCTCCTCCTCCTCCTCCTCCTCCTCCTCCTCCTCCTCCTCCTCCTCCTCCTCCTCCTCCTCCTCCTCCTCCTCCTCCTCCTCCTCTTCCTCCTCCTCCTCCTCCTCCTCCTCCTCCTCCTCCTCCTCCTCCTCCTCCTCTTCCTCCTCCTCCTCCTCCTCCTCCTCCTCCTCCTCCTCCTCCTCCTCCTCCTCCTCCTCCTCCTCTTCCTCCTCCTCTTCCTCCTCCTCCTTCTGGCATTCTTCTGTTTATGATATTTTTTCTTGGCCTCAGTCATATTCCCTGCTTGTGTATGTTTGCTACCCTACCCCACCACCTGCACCTCCCTCACCTTGCTCCTCACGTGCAGTGATGCCTCTCACAACTACCTCTCAGGCCCCATTTCGGGTCTTCCATGGACCAAAATGGACCTTTCAAGCAACTACTTGACAGGTCCTCTGGATCTTTCAGCCTCCACTAACGGCCGTCTTGCTTCCAACTGCTTCACACGGATTAACTGTCTCCCCACGCAGCCCAACTGCTCCCTCACACTGCAGCGGCCCACAGCAGAGTGCACGGCATTCTGTGGTGGCTGGAATGTATGTGATGGCCATGGCATCTGCTATCCAGGCGGACCCAGCTTGGTGCCAACGTGCTTGTGTGAACCGGGATACGTGCAGTTCAGAACGGTCAACTGTCTTGCACAAGGTAAGTGTTGTATTATTGATCCTTGTGAAACATAGGAATTATCAATTTCGTATTTTTATTTTTCCTGCTACATCACATTTCTTATTTGTCTTGGCCTACTGCATGTTAGTACCGCGTTCTTTACTTCGTGTATGCCTTCGGATTGTTTAGCCAGGTGAGCACAAGAAGGGTTTCAGCTAAACAGTCATCTCACTCACACTCCCCTGCCAAGTTCTGATGCGCCATTGATGTTTTCAGACCTAGGCGACACCTAGTAGGCATTCAGCTTCTGTACAAGGTTTCTGCAACCTATGCTGCACTGCACAGACCCTTTTTGTTTACACCGGTGTATGCGTGTCTTGCTAATCTGTGCTCATCACCCTGAAGCAGCCTTCTTTTTCCAGATTGACAAAGATCCATTTCTCCACCAATCCCATCCTTCTTTGTTCCCTTCTCTCATCCGTTGAATCCTTTCAGGTTGGGATCATGGCCTGTTTATAAATACGCCTATTTTTCCTTTGTTCACCATTCTCACCAAGGGAACGCAACGACAGACAGTGGGGAAGTTTATGGCAAAGCCAGTAAGCCTTTTCGCGTACCCAAAGCCTTTCACCACGGGATGTGGCGCGGAGCTGGCTTTCAGTGTTAACTTCACATTCTGCGTCGTTCCCCAGAATGGTATTGGCGGGTTCAACGGGTTTGCATTTGTGATTGCAGCGAAGGGCAAGGTGGGAAAATCTAAAGGTGTAGGGTATGGTGGAATGGACAGGAGGAGTGTAGCTGTTAAATTTGGCACACTTCAGAGTGCCAACCACAATGATCCGACGGAGCAGCATATAGGGCTCAACATAAATGGCTCGGATAATCCTTTGGTCACAGTGGAGTCACCATTCACTCTGAACGACGGTGAAATCTACACAGCATGGGTGGACTATGACCCTTGGAATTCCGGGACGGTTCAAGTGTTTCTGGCCAATTCCAGGGTGAAGCCAGATACGCCGCTGCTGCAGAGGGAGCTGTCGCTGTGCACGGTGCTGCAGCCTGGTGGGAAGAAGTCGACGTTCTTCTTTGGCTTCGTGGCATCCACCACTAAGAGGCCCTTTCAGATGCACGCCATTGCCAAATCCGCCATGCGAACAGGCAAGTCATTTGGGTGAGTGGGGTGTTGGTGATGGCAGTGTCAGTCAGTCTTGATGATGATGATGATGATGATGATGATGATGATGATGATGATGATGATGATGATGATGATGATGATGATGATGATGATGATGATGATGATGATGATGATGATGATGATGATGATGATGATGATGATGATGATGATGATGATGATGATGATGAGTGGTGGTGGTGGTGGTGGTGGTGGTGGTGGTGGTGGTGGTGGTGGTGGTGGTGGTGGTGGTGGTGGTGGTGGTGGTGGTGGTGGTGGTGGTGGTGGTGGTGGTGGTGGTGGTGGTGGTGGTGGTGGTGGTGGTGGTGGTGGTGGTGGTGGTGGTGGTGGTGGTGGTGGTGATGATGATGATGATGATGAACAGGTGATGGTGATAATGGCATTGCGGTGATGGTAGGTGGCATTGAAAATCATTGTTTACCATGGTAATTGATTGACAAACTTAACTGCCTTGAATCTCATCTCTCATCTTGGTTCTCATGTGGTTGGTTGAATTTGTTGGTCTCTTATCTTCTCACAGGAATGTTTCCTCCACGCAAGCGAGTTGGAACCACTCGAGGTGAGCTGTCTCTGCCATGTGACAACCACCAGCAAGTTGGTTGATCAGCAGTAGTAACGTCCAGGTTAGACCATCTAACAGCTGGGAAACCCAAGGGTGAAAGAGGATTTTACAACACAGATTCGTTTCATTATGCACATGCCAAATTAGGCATGAGCATGGGACAAACCTGAACCAGTTTGACACAAACCGAGTCAGCCCGGCCTGGTAGTCGAGCCAAACCTGAACCGGTTCTAATCTGACCTTTGGAGGACCCAAGAGGTACGTGCCCAATTGTGGCCGAATGCAGTTCAACTCGAACTGTGGTTCGAGTCTGCTCGGTTCAAGTCTAGTCCGGCCCAACCCCTCCTCCTCCTCTCCCCCACTTAATATATATATATATATATATATATATATGTATGTATGTATTTATACATATTCATTTGGTGTAGCTGAGTGTGAACAAGTTATAGTTCATCAAACATGGAGCAAAAATGCAGGTGGAAAGCTGGAGCTTGAAAATCAGACCCACAAAGTTGGCTCCATATGTATATTTTTTTTTTCCAGAATGCTTATAGTTTGTCATTCTGACAAGTATTTTTATGCCTTGTTTGAGTAAAACTTCAGCTTAGAAGCATGAAACCACTCCGCATACTTGTGTTCCCCAACCTAAGTCAGCCAGAGGCGAGGCAATCACAATTCCAGAGGACCCAGTCCAGTTCGACTTGAACCAGAAGGCCAAAAGAATGGGCCTGATTTGATCCACTGCTTATGCTTATGCTGAATGCACGATAACACATGAAGCTTCTCCGTCTTTTTCGTTGGGGAAATTCGCAAACTCTGGTGTAGTGTCCTGCCTTGCATTCAATGCGAGCTCCAAGGTGGATCTGTGCTTCACACGCCCACCAGGTGTGCCTCTACCCATCACCCATATTGTCTAGCCTACGCATATCTCCTTGTCCACCCCATCCCTCCCCTCACAGAACGTGGACTCGCAGTATCAGAAAGCACGTTTGCACCACCTGGAGCGAGCCCATTCTCGCGCTATGTGAGCACGGACTACCAATGGATGGATAACGATGCAAGCGTGGACTCGTGGGCCATCCGTGACTTCCACTCCTGGATCTCCATGGCCTTCCTCAAGTGGCCTGTCAAGGATCAGCTGCTTTGCAGTGAGTGACAAGAGCATGGAGATCGCATGTGACGTGTGCCAGTGGACATTTCCAGATTGGAGGTCCTCATTTCTTCAGGTTCACATGTTGCACGGCTATTACTTAGCTTAGGGTCACGTTGCAAGTTCTTGTTTGCCACCGCAGATATTTTTACCATCTGCAAAGGTTTTTAGGACAGCAAGGTCCTCCAGTTGGGAATGTTTTCTACCCTCATTCCCCGATCCTGTGTCTACTTCTCAGATGCATGCTGAGCGTATGTATCTGCAGCGTTACTCCACCCTCAAAGAGTAAGCACAATTAACTGTTCTCATATCTACTTGCTTATTCTCAGGTGCATGCTGGGCATATGCGGTGGTGGCGAGTGTGGAGGCTGCGTACGGCATCGCATTGAATCAAGCTGCTCCCCAGCTGTCAGTGGAGTCACTCTTTGCAGCCATGGGGCTCACCGATGCAGACAAGTGCACTGCTGGAGGCTCCCCCACTTCAGCCTTTGAGAAGCTCGTCACTCTTGATGCCAGCAGTGGGCTCACAGGAGTCAATGACCTGGTAGGGAAAACAGAATGAGGCCATGGTATGTGATGTGAGGTGCGGTGATGTGAGATGCTGCTGGGAACGGGTTTGATTGCGGCGAGACACTCTTAAGAAGTATCCTGACTATCAGATCTTTAGCAGAGACTAGTGTGTAGGATTGAAAAGCAAGTGGAAAATTCTAGTATATCAGTTCAGTTCAACAAATCTCAAGTCGGTTTTTAGGGCAATCATGGAAAATTTCACGACTCACCTTCCTTGGCAGAGACGGTGAAGGAATCGTTGCTTGTGATGGATATCTGAGTCGTGGATAGGCTGGCAATGCATTGAGCTGTCTCCTGCTGTAAATTACTCTTGGCTTCATGGTTTGTTTAGCATAGAGCGACATGGATATGGCACGGACCTCATATCCTTTCTTCATTCATTTGCTCTACTCATACATATTCCAACCCATTCTCGTGTTCCTAGGGAACAAGCTACCCGGTGGCAGCATTTGAGCGGGCGCTCTTCAAGGGGTACTTCGGGCTCATGCTGGCAGTGCGGCGCCAGCCAGTGGTGGTTCACATCGAGGCTTCGGCCGACACGTTCTTCCAGTATGATGGGGTGAGTCGCTGCAGCAATCATGTGTTGTGGTGCCTTGCGGACTTGCGCAGTGTGGTGCACTCTTGTAGCATTGCACACATATTTGTATGACGGATGTATGTCCCGTCCCACTTTTTGTTTCAGACGTTCAAGTACCAGGACCCTGCGTGCTACACGGGCAATCTGAACCATGTGGTGCTCGTCGTTGGCTACTTCATCAATCGAGACGACGGCAGCCAGAGACGCATCTCACCTCCATTTTGGGTCATCCGCAACTCGTGGGGGGTGGAGTGGGGAGACAAAGGCCACATGCGCATGGGCATTCAGGGAGGGGATGGCGTGTGTGGCATCAACGTGCTGCCTGGCATCTACCCCGTTGTCAAGAGTGAGAAATGCACAACATTGTTGTGAATCCACAGTTTGTAATCCATAGTTGAAGTTTGCCATGCGACTCACTCCCAAGGACAAGGCAGCAAACCTTTCCCACCCCCTCCCAACTTTTCCACCCTGTTTCGTGCCCCTTGCTGCTCGTTGTGATAGAAAAGCAGACAGCCTACCCCCACAAATACTGGGTTTCGAGTAGTAGACGGTAGCATGTCTTACGTAGAGGTGCTACATATTCTTCGAATGAGAGGGACTCAACAGGACATACGACCAGTGGGGGGCTATCACCTTGAGGCACCTTTGCTAGAAGGAGACCCCCTGAAGCCAAATTCTGCACGCTGTATTGGTTGTGCATGGCGATATGGGGGGTTCAGGTCCATCGACCGTCACGCCGTATCCTGCGCAGAATAGCAGTGGCATTGGCCAAGAGCATGCTGGAGCGTGAGGCCGGATGGGACCTGGCACTCCTTGAGTTGTGACCTGGCCAGATGGGACCTGGCACTCCCGTCACCCTCATGCAGACCAGATTGGCATTGAGCCAGCCATGTGTGGAGTGCAGGAGGTGGGGATAGCGTTAGCAGCTTCCATCAGCAAAACTTCTGGCACAATGGCTGCTGGGTGGGGCCAATGCCGCGAGGACCCGGTAGGCGTGGATGAAGAAGCTGGCTGGGAAGCCGTGCTCTCCTTCTAGCCTTGGGCCTGCCAACCCCAGCATGCTCAAGGACAGAGGAATTAGAGATTAGGCCCAGCCAGGTTCTGGTTCTTCTTGTGGAGGAGGTGAGTCCCCACTGCGCCTACTTGCAGGGGGTTCGTGCAGGCAAGGCATGAAACCCGTTGTGTGACACCCGTTGTGGGTGCGGGTTCTAAGAGAGCTAGGGGGGTGGACACAGAAAGCAGCTGTTGACAAGCAATGGACTTGTAGAAACGTTTTTTAATAGGGAAGTATATCGGTAGCCCAATTCGACCCTGGCTTTCAGCATTTCAGAATGTCGACATAAGTGGTCTTCCAGGTAACTTTCTATCCAGTTTAAACTGGCAGTTAATTGTGTTCTCACTAATTACTGCACATTAAAGATGCTGGCAAGTTTGGAAAGGCAACAAGACTAAAAGTGGTGCTTAGCAATTGTTTTCCCTAGTACCAAGCCATGGCTTGCCAATTTACTAACACGTTGCTTTGTCCTACAGTTAACGAACTTCCGTGCTGATGTTTTCAGCTTGTACTCTCTCCTTCACCCTTCAGTTCCAGGAGACCCATGCGGTAACAATAGCTACAAGGGCGACCAGGACTTGTACGGCATGAACCCGTGTGGCCGGTTCCCATGCCAGAAGACTACTCAAGGCCATACATGCAGCTGCCTTATTCCTCAAGCTACGCCTCAACCTTTTGTTGAGGTTGACAACGGAATTGGCTCCAAAACCTGTGCTTATGGTAAGAAATTGCTGTTGTGTACAAAGTACGTGGTCTCTTGGTGCCCTCTGTTGGCCGAGCGGGCCCTGCAGGCCGAGCTCGTGATGTTACATGGCATGATAACCCTTGCTGTGTCCTTGTATTTTTCTCACATGTCCTATCCTTATGCCTTGCTTGTCCCTATGTCCCTCGTTGCTCAATCTTACCTGCTATCTCCAATCCATGGAATGTACATCACCCTGATGCCACTGTGGCAGTGGACGTGTGTGGGTCGTACTTCAAAAACCCCTGCTATGTGGGCACATGCATCAACGATCTCAAGGGCTCCTACTCCTGCATCTGCCCTCCCAACTACATTGAGAGAGTCACAGTCTACGGCTTCCCCACCTGTGATCCGGGTAATGCTTCATTGGTCTGAGTCGTTAGAAATGGGACCTCTTCTCCCCAACCCAACCTTACTCCTCTCCTTTTCTTTCCTCCATGCCTTCTTCTCTCTCTATTCACGTTCTACAGCGAATTCTACAACCACCAGCATGACTGTTACTGGAGACAACTGGCAGTGCTCGGATGTAAATGCACTTGTTGGCATACCATTGGAACAATTCAGCAACATCAATACGGTAAGAATTAAGTTTGTGAGTGAATACCTACACGGCTAAGGTTTTGTTGGGCACGCCGATCTGGTTCTGATGATACTTCATTGCGCCACACCTCTTTTTTCTTTTAATCTCAAACATCGCTTATGCTTTGTATTGGTGAGCAAGGGAATGTGACTACAAGCTCGCACTCACGCCACTTCTTCATGCAAGTGTTCCACAATGCAGGAGATAGATTGCAACCAGCCATTGGTTAAAGGCAGTGTCCTTAAGCTGGATGATGCTCCTAACATCCCCTGCACTGCTTTCTTCTACGCCCTCAACGTGAGACGGGGTGGTGCCGTTTTCATTTCACCTTACCGTGGTCTTAGGTCGTATCCCAGCCAAGTGACAAGAAGTTGGTATCATGACACCAACTCATTCTACGCACGCGATTGGTCCAAAAATAATGCTCGGCCAATGCTATTGGTCTAGCATTATTTTTGGAGTATTCGCGTGCGTAGAATGAGTTGGTTTCATGACACCAACTTCTTGACACTTGGCTAGTATATGACCTTACCAGCTTGCCTAGCCAACTTACATCCCATTGTAGGCAGCACCACACGCACTCAAGATGTGCTCTCTCCATTGTCCAACTTCCCAGGGCGACACCTGTTCATACGTCACCAGCCAGCTCGGCTTGAGCATCGAAGACCTTGTTAATCTCAACCCCGGCCTCAACTCTTTGTCGGACCTCAATGCGGGCCAGTCAGTGTGCGTCGAGCGCAGCTCTGCTTTCGCCTACAAGGTCCCCGAGTGTCTGAGATACGACACACTGACAACGAGCGACACGTGTGAGGTGCTGCTTCGAAGAACCGCCAAGGAGCCGGGTGGGGCTGTCACTGGAAGGAACTGGGCTGACCTGTACCGCAACAATCCCGGCCTCACTTGCTCCAGCACCATCCCTGGCAACATGAAAGTGCAGGTACGGATTGGAATGTGCGGATTAGTTTCTGGACAAAACACGGGAGCTAGGGGAAGGGCCTACAAGGTTGGTTGGCAGAGTAGAGAAGCTGAAGTGGGGATGTGAAGGGAGGGAGAGGAGGGAGTGCAATGCGGGCGGCAATGGTAATCCCTGGTACATGAGTTCTTCATAGGGCCAAACCTGTTGGGACTTGGGGATTACCAGTTTTGGCACTACTGTATTTGCTAACAGCCCATTCCCTGTCAAGATTTTCAATGTTTTTCTCTGCTAATCTGCATTATTGTCATAGTTCACTTTTCACCTTTGACATTCGCGTCTCCTTTTGTGCCAGATTTGTTTAAGGGCAGAGTATTGGTCATTTACAGCAAGCGTCATTTGCAAAAAAGGCAAATGCAAGAAGGTCAACATCAACGATTCATGTTCAAGAGTGCTTGTTACAGGTAGATTCACAAGCGATGCCCAGTTCGCAGAATACAATGGCAAGAGTTGCTCGGGTACTGTAGGTATCAAGTCCATATGTGTACCTAGGTAATACCTAACTACCAGTATATACAGTCATCAGAGTTCGTGTGATGATTGGCAGATGTCATTTAGAGAGATTCTGCTATAGTTACCATAAATTCTATTCTTTATAATGTGCTAATGTCCTGTCCTGGTACAGTGTGATTGTGTCTTACTGTGATCCTTTCTAAAACAGGCGCGTTTGTTTAATTGGTGCATGCACTACGGGTGTAAGGGTGTGCTGCAAGCCCTCAGATTCGTTTTTTGCCTGTCTGATTCATCAGACCAGTACACACTTTTAGTCTGCAACCCTCAGAGTTGGTGTAAAAAAAAGGCTGAAATTTCAGAGTGCCTTAATAAAAAAGTCTGAAACATCAATGTATCTAATGTTTCATCAGAAATGTATTCAATGCTTCATCTGATACTGAAACATACTAGACTAAGGGGATTTTCGGGAGACATGCTCTGACAGGGCGAATTTCTGTGTCAGGGCGAATCTTGTGGTGTGAAAGGGCGAATCTGCAATGTCAGGTGAAATTTCTTGGTGATTGGTCGAAGTCATTGTGCTCTGACAGCGCAAATCCGATGTGTCAGAGCGATTTCGATGTGATTGGGCGAAAATCTTGTGCTGTAAGGCACGGATTTGCAGTTTCAAGCCGATTTTGCATTGACCTGTGAAGTTCGAACCGAATCACCAGTCAAGAACACATGCAGAAAATAGAATCGGTACGCGTTTGTACTCCGAGTGATCAGAGCACACTCCCAGAAAACTCTGAAACGTCAGAGTTAGCTCTAAAATTTCTCTGAAAATTACAGAGTTGGGGCCCAAAAATCTCTGATTTTAACAGACCTCACTTCAAAAAAAATCTGAATTCTCAGAGTTTTTCATGCAAATCAGAGAAATTTCTCTGACTTCTGGGGGCCTGGTGTGCTGCATCGGGGGCAAATCTCTATGAGGGGTGCTGTACGGTATTTTATGGCAAATAACGGTGATTTCAAGTTGAATGGCAAAAAATGGTCAATGATTGGACTTAGAACAAACATGCAGCATGCATCACGGCCTTGCCGTTTGTTGGGCTGAACGCCCTAGGATCTTTAGTAGTGTTAAAGTCTGAGTAAATGATGTAGTAGCGGAAGCGTTTGAATAAAGTCCTTGAACCACCTTGCGCTAGTATGTGAGGGCAAAGTAAGTTAATTAAAGCAAAGAGATATAGGAATATATATATATATATATATGAGTACAGAGAATATGAAGAGACATAATTGTAACTGTTTTACTGTTGCGGTTCGATACAGTGCGACTCGGGCAACTGCTCAATGTCGAGTTAGTTGTGTGTCCTTGCTGTCGCGCTGCGTCAGGTCAAAGGTCGCTGACCTTTGACTTTCTCGTAACCTCCAGCGGTTACGTTAACCTCCGAGGGTTGACTCGCGGTGCTTCGATTTGAGCTGCTTCGCTTGTGTCTTGAGTTTCGACACGACAGAGGCGCTTAAGACTATTTGTTCCCAACAACCGTTATCCCCTGTTTACAAAGCCCGCTGAAAATCCCCCGCGGGGGGCTTATGTGGCTAGAGGTGTTTATCGGCGAAACGCGTGATAACATACCCTCTATTATGGAATCCTAGGAAAGCATCATCCCACACCCCCCCCCCCCCCCCTTCCGCCTGTCGGGCTGAGAAAAGCCCTTAGGATCTTTGCAGGACTAAACTCTGGGTAGGAATGTTGTAGTTTGCGGAAGCGTTTAATAAGAGTGTTGAACCACCTTGCGCAGGTATGTGAGGGCAAAGTAGATTGATTAAAACAAAGAGGTACAAGGCTTTTATAAGAGTACAAGGAATATGAAGAGATACAACTAATAATTGTTTTACTGTTGCTGTTGCGGCTCGATATAGTGACGACTCGGGCAACTGCTCTGTATCGAGTCAGTTGTTTGTCCTTGCTGTCGCGCTATATCTGTCAAGTCAAAGGTCACTGACCTTTGACCTTCGCGTAACCTCCAGCGGTTACTTCATTTGTCAACCTCCGATAGTTGACTCGCCGATGCTTCGTTGTGCTTCGCTTCGTTTATGACTTGGTGTTTTGTCACACGACAGAAGCGCTTAAATTACTTGTTTCCAACACTCCCCTTCGCTTCTGGAGTGTCGCTGCTGGTGACATGGCCTTGCCCAGTCAGCAGCATGCAGTACTTGAACTTATGTTTTCCGAGCTTCTTGGTCAAGTAATCAGCTGCCATCTCAGACGTGGGACAGTAGGACAGCTCGAGTCTCTCCTTCTTGATCTCGTCCTTCACGAAGAAATATCGCAGGGCGATGTGTTCCGTTCTGTTCGCAAATCCGTTCTTGTTGGCTATGCGGATTGCAGACTGGTTGTCGCAGAACAGGGAGAAGCTGGGTAACTGGGCTAGCTTCGCTTCTTCCAGCAGTTCGCGAAGGTACCGTCCTTACTTGGTGGCTGAACAGAGTGAAATGTATTCTGCTTCAGCTGAGGAGAGAGCAATTAGCTCCTGCTTGCTCGACTGCCAAGAGATGGGCCTGATAGGCTTAAGTCGGTAGATGTAGCCGGTGCGCGAGCGCCTGTTGTCACAGTCGCCGGCGTGATCAGCGTCGATGTAGCAAATTAGTTTAGGTGTTGTAGTTTCGGTCTTGTGGTAGGTTAGGCCAATCGTTGGGGTGCTGACAAGGTAGTGAAGAGCGCGGTCGAGCTCCGCCATGTGTTCTGCTTCAGGTTTCTTGAGGTAGGTGGTGAGTTGACTTGCAGAGTATGATAGATCCGGACGACAGGTAACGGCTGCAAAGAGGAGGCATCCCAGCTTTCTCTGGTAGTCGCGTATGCCTGCGGGCTTGAGCGGAGCAGAGCCTTCTTTGTGACTTCCGGTGGTGTAGCGGTATGGCGTGGAGATGGCGGTCGGGGTGAGTCCGAAGCGTTTGGCGATAGTGTCAGCGTATTTCACGGCGCTGAGGTAGATTGCGCTTTCTTCTTCCTGAATGTTGAGGCCGAGGTATTGCGTGACGGTCGATGACACTGTGAGAGTAAGATCCTGCTGCAGCTCTCCTTTGAACCAGGTAGTGACGCCGTCGGTCGAGCCAATGTAGAGTAGGTCATCTACATAGACAACCAGTAAGATGTAGTTGGTGCCCTTTGTGAGTCGGTACACGTCCTGGTCGTGCGGTAGCTGGCGAAAGCCGATGCGGATGAGTCTAGCGTGCAGGTACTATTGCCACAGTCTCAGGGCATGTTTAATGCCGTACAGAGACTTTAGTGTCGAGAGTAATAAGAATGGGTAAGTTGAGAGGTAGAAAGGTGGGGCCTAGGCTTAGTAGCCTAGGCCCGAGCTTTAGGTGTCGAGCGGTTTTGTGCCTAGGTAGGAGTTCGAGTGAGTTGAGAAAAAGTTGGGAGAATGAGGAGCTTCACTATAGTTTTGAAGTACATATAGCAAAGGAAACACATAAGGTGCACCACCAATACAAAGTTTAAATAACTACACTACTGCTAGAACTACATGCAGTTATAATAAATATAATTTTGACATCCCCCCGTAACTGCATGCAGGAATAGCTAAGTGCAGAGCACAACCTGCAGAGGTACACCAACGAACAATAAAAACAAGCAACAGTAGGTACACCCCCTCCATCTCCTCACCCTCCCCCTTCCCCTCCCCCACACTGCTGCAGAAGCAGCAGAGAAAGGGGGAAGAGAGGAGAGGTGGAGGGACGGCTGCTTGTTGCCTCACACCCGCCACCCCGATACCACTCCCCCTGCTCCCCCACATCCTCACACCCTCCTCCCCCAGCGGCAGCTGCAGCGGTGGGACTGAAAGAAGGAGGAGGGGAAGGGAGAGAGGTGACGCCACACTCCAACACCCTCCACCCCCATACCCTCCTCCCCACGGCTGCAGGGAGGCAAAGGAAGAAGGGGGGTGGGAAGGAAGAAAGCCGCAGAGCGGCGAAGAGGTGTCGGTGCAGATGGGTCAGGGGCGGCTTCAGGGAGTGCAGGGGCGGAAAGAAGGCCCGTCGCGGGCCAGTGCCACGGGGCGCACGACGGGTAGAATAAAAGGGCCCGATCGTGTGCCTCGGGGCACACGACGAGCAGGGCACCATCGTGTGCCACGGGGCGCACGATGGGCAGTTGAAGGGCACCGTCACGTGCCACGGGGCGCGCGACGGGCAGGGAAGGAGTCACACGCCCGTGGGCGGGACAAGGTAAAAATAAAATCGTCACGCGCCCTAGGCGCGCGGCCGGAAAATATTAGCAGCGGAAGTGTAAAGCGGGCCCACAGGCCAGGACGAACTCAGCTCCGATAACATGTCGAGAGTAATAAGAATGGGTAAGTTGAGAGGTAGAAAGGTGGGGCCTAGGCTTAGTAGCCTAGGCCTGAGCTTTAGGTGTCGAGCGGTTTTGTGCCTAGGTAGGAGTTCGAGTGAGTTGAGAAAAAGTTGGGAGAATGAGGAGCTTCACTATAGTTTTGAAGTACATATAGCAAAGGAAACACATAAGGTGCACCACCAATACAAAGTTTAAATAACTACACTACTGCTAGAACTACATGCAGTTATAATAAATATAATTTTGACATTTAGCAGCTGATAGACTTGGCTAGGATCTCCGTTTGATCCGTGTGGTAGCTCGACGAAGATTTCGGCGTCAACAGGTGCGTAGAGAAAGGCATTGGCGACGTCAATTTGCCGTAGTTTCTTCTTTTTCATGGCGGCGATCGTGAGGAGAATTCGTAGTGAAGTATAGCGGCTGACCGGTGAAATCGCGTCCGTGCTCTTGGTCAAAACCACGTACAACCCAGCGCGCCTTAAATTTGTCGATGGTGTCGTTTGCCTTTGTTTTCACACCAAAACCCATTTTCCGGTGAGTATCATTTTGTTGCGTGCCACTCCGATGGGAACGACTTTCCGAGAGTTCCATTCTTCTAGCGATTCAGCTCCCTGTCCATGGCTTCGTGCCATTTTTCCCTATGCTCCCCCCACAGAGCCTGCTGAACTGTAGCAGGCTCCTTAGGAATCGCCGTGTCGTGTACCGCGATGATGAGGCCAAGTATCTGGAATCCGCTCTGTGTTTAGTGGGGAAGAGTTGTGTCCTCGGGATAGACTGCTTCGTCTCCCACTTCAGGATCGGGTACAAAGTTGGGTCCTACGCGCTCTGCTTCGTTGGTGTTGACTCTTGCAGGTGTAACGTAACCGTTGT